ATCCGAACGAAATCTTATCTTATCTTATCTTATCTTATCAGCAAAGGAAGACAAGGAGCTATGGCTTACATCTCTATGTCAGAAATGAAGATGAGGAACAGAATGGGAGCGAGTACTGTGCCTTGTGGAACAGAGCTTTTTACCGTGGCTGCCTGGGACTTTACTCTGTTTACTATTACTCTTTGTGTTCTATTTGTCAGGAAGTTGTAGATCCATCTACCAACTTTTCCCGTTATTCCTTTATCCCGCATTTTGTGTGCTATTACACCATGGTCACAGTTGTCGAAAGCTTTTGCAAAGTCTGTGTATACTACATCTGTATTTTGTTTGTCCTCTACAGCATCCAGGGCCTTGTCATAGTGGTCCAGTAGCTGGGACAGGGAGGAGCGACCTGCTCTAAACCCTTGTTGCCCTGGGTTGTGTAACTGATGAGTATCTAGGTGGTTAGCGATCTTGCTTCTTAGAACCCTCTCAAAGATTTTCATAATATGGGATGTTAGTGCTATCGGTCTGTAGTTCTTTGCAATTGCTTTACTGCCATCTTTGTAGAGTGGGGCTATGTCTGTTGTTTTTAGTGTGTGTAGGATGACCTTTATGTCCATGCTCCCTGTCTATTAAAAGCTGAAGGCATGCGAGAGGGGCTTCTTGCAATTCTTGATGAACACGGAGTTCCACGAGTCTGGGCCTGGGACAGAGTTGATAAATTAGACACATGTGCAACTCTTGGGTATCTTTATTGAGGAAACGTTTCGCCACACAGTGGCTTCATCAGTCCATACGTAGGAGAAACTTGAAGAGCAGGAGAAGAATGAGGTAATCAGTCCCTCAACCTTGAGTCGATGTGTTCAGTCCATCAATCTTGAATAGAATACGGCATATCAGCGGAGAAGCAGCTTATAAACCGTATGGCAGGAGAGGTGCAGCAGTCATAGGTCGTGTCACATTTGTTCAATGTGGAAGTAGGTCGTGCCCAAGAATTAGGCAAGCAAAGAATTCCTAAGTATTAAGATCCCAAGAAGTTGCAGTGTCTGACAGATTTAAGAACATAAGAACATAAGAACGAAGGAACACTGCAGAAGGCCTACTGGCCCATGCGAAGCAGGTCCAAGTCTCCTACCGGCTTAAGCCAATGCACCCAACCTAGTCAGGTCAGGTCACATTGACTTAAGGGAGGAACACGGCAACCGACCTGTTAGCACAAGCTATCAGGTCTAACTCACACCCACCCACATCTACTCATGTATTTATCCAACCTATTTTTAAAGCTACACAACGTTCTGGCCTCTATAACGGTACTTGGGAGTTTGTTCCACTCATCCACAACTCTATTACCAAACCAGTACTTTCCTATATCCTTCCTGAATCTGAATTTTTCCAACTTAAAACCATTGCTGCGAGTCCTGTCTAGGCTAGATATTTTCAGCACACTATTTACATCCCCTTTATTTATTCCTGTCTTCCACTTATACACCTCAATCATATCCCCCCTAATTCTACGTCTTTCTAGAGAGTGCAGTTTCAGGGCCCTTAGTCTATCCTCATAGGGAAGGTTTCTGATACATGGGATCATCTTTGTCATCCTCCTTTGTACATTTTCCAGAGAATTTATATCCATTCTGTAATACGGTGACCAAAACTGTGCAACTCTTGGGTATCATTATTGAGGAAACGTTTCGCCACACAGTGGCTTCATCAGTCCATACGTAGGAGAAACTTGAAGAACTTCCACATTGAACAAATGTGACACGACCTATGACTGCTGCACCTCTCCTGCCATACGGTTTATAAGCTGCTTCTCCGCTGATATGCCGTATTCTATTCAAGATTGATGGACTGAACACATCGACTCAAGGTTGAGGGACTGATTACCTCATTCTTCTCCTGTTCTTCAAGTTTCTCCTACGTATGGACTGATGAAGCCACTGTGTGGCGAAACGTTTCCTCAATAAAGATACCCAAGAGTTGCACATGTGTCTAATTTATCAACATGTCGGTTCTCTGAACCATTCATCTACAAATCTGGGACAGAGTGCTTGGGCATGTCATTAATTGCCTCTTCAAAGTCTTATGGAGTTAGAATAATATCCGAGATTTTTAGGATGACCAAATTTTGGGTTTCGTTCATAAAGAATTCATTTGGATTGTCGACCCTTAGTCTGGGCAGTGGCTCGCTAAACATTGAGTCATATTGGGACTGTGTGTGGAAAAAGACTTATGTACAGTTCAGGACATTTATTAAAGGAAACATTTCGCCACGAGTGGCTTCTTCAGTCCTAATATTGGGACTTTAGTATCTCACTCATTTCTTGGCTATCATCTGTGCATGTCCCATCCCGCCTAAGCAGGGGCCCAATACTGGATGTTGTTTTTCCCTTATATTTGGCATGAAAAGAAGTATTTTTTTTAAATTTCCTTTATGGCTTTTAGTTCTTGTGATTCTTGTCTACTATAAGATTCCTTCAGCTTAAGTTCAATATTTGCAGTTTCATTGACTAGTGTCTCCCTTCGTATTTCAGATATATTGGCCCCACTCAGCAGCTCTGTGACTCTTCACCTTCGTCTGTATAGGGAATGTCTCTCTTTCTAGTTTACATCTTCTCTTTCTTTTTCTTAATGAAATGTGTCTTGAGCAGATCTCAAGAACCACAGAATTCATTTTTTCAAGGCAAATGTTCGGATCCGTGTTGTTTAAGATATCTTCCCAGCTTGTTCCATTTAGGACATGGTTTCTTGATCCCATTATATGTTTTTGTTGTTGAAACTGAATTTCAGCAAGGCTTTTGATAGAGTCCCACATCAGAGACTATTGAGGAAAATTAAGGCACATGGAATAGGAGAAATTTTTTTTGGATAGAGGCGTGGTTGACAGATAGGCAGCAGTTTGCATAAATGGGGAGAAATCAGAGTGGGGAAGCGTCACGAGCAGTGTTCCACAGGAGTCAGTGTTGGGCCCATTGTTGTTCACAATCTACATAAAGGACACAGATGAGGGAATAAATAGCGACATACGCAAGTTTGCCGATGACACCAAAATAGGCCGTCGCATTCATTCTGACGAGGACATTCGAACACTCCAGGAAGATTTAAATAGACTGATGCAGTGGTCTGAGAAGTGACAGATGCAGTTTAATATATTATAATCAAAAGAGCCGCTAAACCGCAAGGGTTATGCGCAGGCAGTTTAATATAGACAAATGCAAAGTTAAACATTGGACAGGAAAATAACCATGCCACATATAAACTAAATGTAGATCTTAATATTACTGATTGCGAGAAGGATTTGGGAGTTCTGGTTAGCAGTAATCTAAAACCAGGACAACAGTGCATTAGTGTTCGCAATAAAGCAAGCAGAACCCTTGGCTTCATATCAAGAAGCATAAGTAATAGGAGTCCTCAGGTTGCTCAACTTTATATATCCTTGGTTGGGCCTCTTTTAGATTATGCTGCACAGTTTTGGTCACCGTATTACAGAATGGATATAAATACACTGGAAAACGTACAAAGGAGGATGACAAAGTTGGTCCCATGTATCAGAAATCTTCCCTATGAGGATAGACTGAGGGCTCTGAATCTGCACTCTAGAAAGGCGTAGAATTAGGGGGGATATGATTGAGGTGTATAAATGAAAAACAGGAATAGGTAAAAGGGATGCAAATAGCCTGATAACAATATCTAGCTAAGATAGGACTCGCAGCAATGTTTTAAAGTTGGTAATAGAGTTGTGGATGAGTGGAACAAACTCCCGAGTACAGTCAGAGGCTAAAACGTGTAGTTTTAAAAATAGGTTAGATAAATACACGAGTGGGTGCAAGTTGGACCTGGCTAGCTTGTGCTGCTAGGTCTGAAGCCGTGCTCCTTCCTTAAGTGAATGTGACCTGACCTGACTAGGTTGGGTCATTGGCTTAAGCCGGTAGCAGACATTATAATAATCAAATAAAGCGCTAAGCCGACAAGGGTCATGCAGCGAGGTAAGAGACAGACCTGCCTTGCATGGGCCAGTAGGACTGTTGCAGTGTTCCTTCTTTCTGATGCATCTTTCTCGCCTTCATTCTTAGTATAGTTCTAGGGGCTTCAAGTGCTCCCAGCAGTTGAAGCCCCTAGAAAATTTGCGAGCCGTGAAGGTTCTCCAGATTACATTTTTGCACCTCGGTAATTTCACCTGCCTTCAAGGGGCCGTTAGTAGACAGCCATAATCCAGCGTAGAGAGCGAGTAAGTTTTTATTCAGGTACAGGTACACAAATATAGTTACATAAATTATCATACATAGCACATGTAGATTACCTAGGATAACCAAAAAAAAAAAAGTCGGGCATCTCGAGGGGTCTCAAGTTATAGCACTCTTGCACTTCATTACGTTTTATATGTATCTAATAATTTTCCTGAGAGAAAGAAAAAGAAAAGGAGAAAGAAAAAGAATTATAATCAGAACTAAGGAGAGTATAAGAGGATAGGAGGGAGAGAGGAAAATCGAGAGAAGAGATGAAGGCAGAGAGAAGTCAATGATGTAGTTGGCAACACAGGGTTTAGTGTTGCCATATATGGAGAAGCTTCAAGTGAAGCCTCTAAGAACATGTCATGTAAACATTGCTTTAATGATCTCTATAAGAAGCACACGTAACCCTTGACCAACTGTTCTTATTTAGAAACGGCCCTAGTGTTAATTAAATGTGCAGATGGCTGATTAAGGGCATACACTTGGCACTAAGATCACAGTTTACACGCACCTCTAGTGGAATGCGATGACACTATCCCAGTTTACCTTTTACTGGGTCAAGCCGCCCTTATATGTGCATACTCGTATCCAAATCATATTCACAATAATACGCTAGTTTACATGTATTTATGAGAAACCTCTAAACCCTCGAAGACCATACACCAATTATACGTGTGAAGCATGTTTCATAGCAGTAGACTAACTTCAACTCTGCCGTGTGTGTATTCACGATATAACCTCTGACTTCCTAGAAAATATAGTGAAGGTGGGATACATAAAAAATCATTAATACAAAATATAGCTTTATTCCACTTACACCAACTAGTGGTATAAGCAATTCTTTGGTGTCGTTGTTAAGTAATTTCAGATATATACAAAACAAGTTCTCGATACACTCGTGTACAATGAATATTTACAAATGAAACAGTTTTACTTTATCATGACTGGATGAAAAAATGTTTAAATGAAAACTAGCTAAGCAAACATACCACTACAAGATAGTCACTCTTGGTACAAGAGTTAGCAATGCAATAACTAAATTAATGCTCTTGAGCACAGAGAATCCTTAAATATAAATCATGTACAATAAATATATGTAGTCTTGTGGAAGGTGGGTGTCGCTGTGGGTTCCGCCTCTCTCACTCGTGACGTCAGCAGCAATCCTGGAGGTGACGTCACGCCACAGGTATCTCCCCCCAAAGCTGGCTCATCGTCTGTACACATCACCTCAGGTGATCTTCTACACGTCGATTAGCCAATAAAAATATGCCGTTCAGATTTTTTTTATGTAAAGGCACAAGTCAAGCAAGTTCTCATAAAACATCGGATGAATAAACTAAGGTATCCACTGTCCAAAATCTTTCACTTCCAACACTGACAGTTCAACTTGCTCAATAACCTTGGCGTAATGATACTTTATGTAGTCACAGTATATTGTGATGTAATAATCCTGCGTGTAATTTTTTTTTTTTTTTGGGGGGGGGGGGTAGACTTACAGTGGAAGAACTTCAGAGAGAATTTCCTTTGCACTATCAGTCAAAGTGGAAGGGAACTGAATATCAAAATGGACGATAATATCTCCTTTCCTGGTAGGATCCTTGGGGTAGGGTAGTCCGTAGCCTTGAAGACGCTTCGTGGTCTGTGGTCGTACGATTTCGTTACTGAAGTTTAAGGTAACTTTCTGACCGGTCAAGGTTGGAATAGCTACCCGGGCACCACACAAGGCATCACGTAGTGTCAATTTAGCTGTATACTGAAGGTTGGCACCATCACGCTTGAAGTGCTGGTGAGGTTTATCTCTGACCACGAAGATAATATCTGCAGGAATTTTGCCAGGAGACTGATCGCCCTCACGTTCAAAGGTGATCTTGGTGCCTTCCTTCCACCCTGGCTTCACGTCTATGGTCAAAATCTTCTCCTCACGACGTGTGGTACGACCGTCACTGGATAACAAATTTCTAGTAATCTTCATCTTCTTGGTGACGCCCTTGTAAACTTCTTCCAAGGTGACGTAGAGGTCCCTGGTGACGGCTGGATCCTGGTTACGACTCTTGCCCTGAGGTCTGGAAGCATCATGGGGGTTGAAGCTGAAGGCACGACGTGTGCCCCCACCCATGCGATGCCCACCACCCATCATGGTGATGAATGGGTCGTCCTCTACGTCCATCTCTTCAAACACACCATGGGGACCGTGACCATCAACACCCATGAAAAAGTTAGCAAACGGGTCACTAGTGCCGAAAAACTGTTGGAAAGTAGCTCTGGGGTCGCCCGAGAAGGTATATGTGAAGTGTGGGCCATCACCACCACCAGCACCAGGTATTCCTCCCTTGAGGCCTTCCTCGCCGTGCTGGTCGTATATGTCCCGCTTCTTTTTGTCACTCAACACCTCGTAGGCCTCCGCTACGGCTTTAAACTTTTCCTCCGCGTCAGCAGACTTGTTTTTGTCAGGGTGGTACTTGAGTGCCATTTTCCTGTAAGCTTTCTTGATGTCTTCATCGCTAGCGCCCTTCGAGAGACCGAGAATTTTGTAATAATCCTTGCCCATCTTGCCTGAAGACTAAGTGTTGTAAGCTACGACGCAACACTTATGAGACAAGAAATTTGCTCAGGTACAGGCGTTACTACGTCTGGCTTACTACTGAGGCCAGCCGGCAGGAACCTGCCAAGATATACACTGGTTAACCTCTTCCTGAACGAACTGGAATCACCAGAATGTTGGAGAATGTTCGTTCACATTCCAATAATGACAATTTCACGTATTTAATAATAACTACCTTATTTCCTTTCTCTAGTTAAAAAAATCAAGTAAGTAAAGGCGATCTACAGTTTAATAAATAACACCAAGACTTGATATTCAATAAAACAGAATATTATCAAGCATTTCTAAAGAGTTAAGTTTACCTTGCAAGTGTTGAGAATGTTTGTCTGGGGTGTGGGCGGAGCTTTAATATACATCAGCAACTGTGCTCATGTGATTGGCCCACTCTCTGGCGTCATGTTTAAAACACCTCTGAGTAGCCACATATGTGCTCTAACCAATCTTGATAGTAAATAATAAAAATATATATACGAACACCTCTCATATAATGTGCTCAATGGAAGGAAGTCACTTTGACTTTTTTGGGGGTTATCCTAGGTAATTCACATTAAGTACGATACTTATTTGTAAGTGTGCCTTATTGAACTTAATTATCGTGATAATAAAAATTAGAAATGCATATACGAATACCTTTCATAACTATAATTTACATAAAATGACATAAAAAAAGTTTTTGCATTACTTATTTCAAATACCCTTATGCCTTTCCTAAGGAAATTAATTATATTTGCTTGTATTATCTTAGATTAAAACCTCATTATTTATGAACACTGTATTTTTATAATATGCTTAATACATATATTGTAGAAATTCAAACATCATTTGTAATAACACCAATATATTTAAACGGGATAAAACCCCACAATGTGGTTTATGTAACTGATAATAGACAAATCATACCTGTATAATAGTACATCAGTCTACCCCTCATCAAGTGTAGAGTTATTTCATATATATTACTGTAAATCTGTTTGTGTGACCCTTCAAGGGAGGAGCTTACATGCTGGTGAAAGGCTCTTGATCCAAAGCATTGAAGATACTCTCCTTTCCTCGGGTTGCAAGTGCTCATTTCCCGAAATAATATGCATAACCATAGGTTTTCTGCATGCACAACCAAATGTCACCCATCTCTGTACAAACATTATGTCATGTGGAAATAAATCTTTGACTTTGATTTCCATGAAATCTGTTTTCATACTAGATCCTCACGGTATTAGCAGTTCAACGTGAATATTATATTACTATAACAACTTCTAATCTACACATATGTTACTATGTATGATAATCTGTGTAACTGTATTCATGTGTACTTGTACCTGAATAAAAACTTACTACTACTAATGTGTTAATTATTACAAATAGAAATTTTGCGAAAAAATATAGCTCAATATTCTTAATAAATCAACAACATAGGAACTATTATACTGAATTTTTCACTTATAACAGAAACTGAATTTTATATAACTAATACATGTACAGTCTTTGTCCTTGACCCCCAGCCCCTCATGGTGGTGGAAGGGGGGGGCTTCTATCACCCTAGACAATGTACCTACATATGTTTTAATTTAAAATGAACTTTCGCTATGAGTTATGGCGGCGTATATTAGAGTGTGAATAGAGTGTTGATTGATTTCTATGATAATGTAGTGCGCAACACACAAGTGAGTGACAGATGCAATGTGTAGGCATCATCTGCTTTGCGCCATCAAATGAACCTCTATTTTACACACACTTCTCAGCACGTGTTAAATTATTACAGATAAATTTTGGAAACAACTCAGAGATAGGTAATTTCCTCTGTTATACGGAATAGTATTATTAGTGTGTTGAATAGTGAGGCTGTGAGGACGAGTGGAGGTTACTGTTATAGTGAGAGGTGGCAGCGCCGCCATAGTTAGTAAACATGTCGACACACACACAATGGCACTGGAACCTGCTGCCTAGTGTCATTTTAATTGAAATTCTTTCTTATCTTCCTCTGTCTGATAGAATAAGTGCATGCTCCACCTGTAAGGCATGGCGCCCTGCCCTTTTCCACCCCAGTTTTTGGCGAAAGATAGAGTTGGTGTTTAAATCCTGTGATTGGAATGGGTTGGAGCGGTCTCGCTTTGTGGCCTCTTGGGGCGTCAGGAAATTACGCTCTTGTGTCCTCCACCTGGAGACTGTCAACACTAATTGTCTGGTGGAAGCTGACCATGTCCTCCTCAAGCTCACCAGAAACCCTCAGGTTAGTAGTAAACCAAATATTGACCACCTTTCTATCACCTGATGTTATTGTCAAGGTGATTTTCTTTTTTCTTTATTGTACGTGCAGTTTACCTGCGCGAAATCGATATGTCTTTATTTATGTGTTTGAAATGTACACATTGAACCTGGGGATGTTGGCAAAACATATTTTCAAAAATAGTATCCAAAACATAAGACCTCCAACGGAAATAAGTTCACACTTTAGCTTTATTGGTTATCCTAGGTTAAATATATATAATGTACTATTTATGTAAGTTTTCAGTTTCTTTGTGCCTTAAGAGCTATTGTACAAATTTATACTACTATGTAGGATAATTTTTACTTGTCCAGAAAAAAGCTTAACTTAGGGTGTTTTTACAAAATGTTACTTTGCTCTCTCAGACCAGAATCTAGGACTGGTAAACCAGAGGTCACTTGCTGTGGCCATCCATTGAGTCATTGGCTACCCACCTTGAAGAGTTTTTAGACAGTCTTGTTGCTCCCATGACAGAAGGTTGACACAAATAAAATGTCTTACCTTTATGTATAGTGTTTTTGTAAATGCAGTATTGTAATTTTTCAAATTTAAAAACTATTTCCTTTTATGTTCTGTAATACTTGTCTACACAGCTTAATCTGGATGAAGATTGACTGGTTAAGTCATCATCGCTCTCTTTGCATTGTAACCCACTATTGTAAATACAAAATCTCAATGTACTGTTTGTAAAGACATCAAATAAATAAATAAATAAATCGCTTGTCACTTTTTCTCGTATATTTATATAAATTGCTGAACCTGTGTGGGTTATTCAGTGCCAGTACCCTCTCCAGTAAAAAACAGATTTTTAAGTACAAATCCCAAAAAGCTCTGTCAACATCTAAAATTTGAGTAAGGCGCGTGTACAACAGTTTGGCATATTTCCTCATGAGACATTTTGCCTGCTCAGTAAGCTTCTTTAATTGAAATACAGAGGTAACAGAAGTAGTGGCAACGAAGATACGAGGTGATTAGCTCCTCAGCCTTGAAGTAAATTTGTGGTAAATTTGGCTTGACCCCCTCAACCCCTCAAAGAAGATTTATTGATACTGGTGAGGGGCTCTTGATTCAAGAAATTGGAATTGTCTTCCACTTACCATTCCCCAGGTGCTGTGAGTCCCCTACAGGTTCAGTGCCTCCCTCTGACTGTAGTAGAGTATATCGACAATACTGTTCTTGTTGTCTTCTCTATATTTTGACTTGAGAAACCTGCTGGTCAGGCAAAAATGTCTTGTCAATAAAGATACTACACTGTTAAAGATATGTCTTCTTTATCTGCTTGTCAGTATTGTATACCATTAATTGAATGATAGGATTTACTTGTTAGTAGTCAGCATGTAACAAAAACTTAATGAATCTGATGTTTACATTTTGATAGTGTATACACGAACGATTAAATCTCTGCAACAAATTCAACTTAAACCAGCAAATAGTAGAGCCTACAAGACTAGAAAATATGCTGGACCTCATCTTCACTAACAGTGACGATCTGATACGTATTATAACTGTATCAAAGACAATTCACTCAGATCACAACATAATAGAGGTACAGACATGTATGCACAGGGCTCCAGACCAGCAAAATGTGAGCAGCCATGGAGGTCTCTTCACGAAATTCAATTTCAATAACAAAAACATACAATGGGATCAAGTAAACCATGTCCTAAATGAAACAAGCTGGGAGGATATCCTAAACAACACGGATCCGAACATTTGTCTTGAAAAAATTAATTCTGTGGTTCTTGAGATCTGCTCAAGACACATTCCATTAAGAAAAAAAAAAATAGAAGATGTAAACTAGAAAGAGAGAGACGTTCCCTATACAGACGAAAGCCAAGAGTCACAGAGCTGCTGAGTGGGGTCAATATATCTGAAATACGAAGTGAGGCACTAGTCAATGAAATTGCAAAAATCGAACTTAAGCTGAAGGAATCTTATAGGAGACAAGAATCACAGGAAGAACTAAAAGCCATAAAGGAAATTAAAAAAAAAAAAAAACTTCTCTTATGCCAAATCTAAGGGAAAAACAACATCCAGTATTAGGCCGCTGCTTAGGCGGGATGGGACATACACAAATGATAGCCAAGAAATGAGTGAGATGCTAAAGTCCCAATATGACTCAATGTTTAGCGAGCCACTGCCCACTCTAAGGGTCGACAATCCAAATGAATTCTTTGTGTGCAGCCAGCAGTAACAGCCTGGTTGATCAGACCCTGATCCACCATGAGGCCTGGTCTCAGACCGGGCCGCAGGGGCAGTGACCCCCGAAACCCTCTCCAGGTAAACTCCAGGTAGTACAAGCAACAGTTGTCTTGTAATTTTAAAAATTCATTACATTTGAATTATCTGTAGCATTATTATTCGTTGAGCATAAAAACATTGTATACAATACCTGTATTATTTTTAAAATTTTTTACATGATGTAGGGTAACTCATGGCTCGAACAGAAGCCCTTTCTACTTGCATCTGAAGGCTTGATCCTGGCACAAGTGGAAATGTTGGGCATGTTTTCTTGTTGCTACTCTTCACCTAGCATAATTAAGATTTTTATTATGTAACATGAATTGTTGATGGCCTAATTGTCCCTAATGCATCTAAACATAAAGCAAGGGGCATCTGTTGGTGCTTGTCTGAAGAACCTGAAGTACACCTGAACAGTATAATAAGCTGAAAATATAAGGATGAAATTCCTCAATAAGCAGGCACATAGCATGCCCACAAATGACCAAAAGATCTTATTATGTATATCAGGCTCTTAAACACTGCCTACTGTGGCTCAGTAGGCAATGCTCTTGCCTCACACACTGAGTGTCCATGGTTCAATCCCTGGCTGGGTGGAAACATTGGGCATGTTTCCTTACATAAGAACATAAGAACATAAGAACGAAGGAACACTGCAGAAGGCCTACTGGCCCATGCGAGGCAGGTCCAAGTCTCCTACCGGCTTAAGCCAATGCACCCAACCTAGTCAGGTCAGGTCACATTGACTTAAGGGAGGAACACGGCAACCGACCTGTTAGCACAAGCTATCAGGTCTAACTCACACCCACCCACATCTACTCATGTATTTATCCAACCTATTTTTTTAAGCTAACAACGTTCTGGCCTCTATAACGGTACTTGGAGTTTGTTCCACTCGTCCACAACTCTATTACCAAACCAGTACTTTCCTATATCCTTCCTGAATCTGAATTTTCCAACTTAAAACCATTGCTGCGAGTCCTGTCTAGGCTAGATATTTTCAGCACACTATTTACATCCCCTTTATTTATTCCTGTCTTCCATTTATACACCTCAATCATATCCCCCCTAATTTTTTACGTCTTTCTAGAGAGTGCAGTTTCAGGGCCCTTTGTCCCAACCTCATAGGGAAGGTTTCTGATACATGGGATCATCTTTGTCACCTCCTTTGTACATTTTCCAGAGAATTTATATCCATTCTGTAATACGGTGACCAAACTGTGCAGCATAAAACTAAATAGGCTAACCAAGGATGTATAGAGTTGAAAACAACCTGAGGACTCCTATTATTTATGCTTTTTGATATGAAGCCAAAAGGGTTCTATTAGCTTTATTGCGAAAACTTATGCACTGTTGTCTTGGTTTCAGATTACTGCAACCAGAACTCCTAAATCTTTTCGCAATCCGTAATATTAAGATCTACATTATTTATTTTTATATGTGGCATGGTTATTGTCCTGTCCAACATTTAGAACTTTGCATTTGTCTATATTAAACTGCATCTGCCACTTCTCCGACCACTGCATCAGTCTATTCAAATCTTCCTGGAGTGCTCGAATGTCCTCGTCAGAATGAATTCGACGGCCTATTTTGGTGTCATCGGCAAACTTGCCGATGTCGCTCTTTATGCCCTCATCTATGTCGTTTATGTAGATTGTGAACAGCAGGGGGCCCAACACTGACCCCTGTGGAACACCGCTCGTGACGCTTCCCCACTCTGATTTCTCCCCATTTATGCAAACTCTCTGCTGCCTATTTGTCAACCATGCCTCTATCCAGGAAAAATTTCTCCTCCTATTCCATGTGCTTTAATTTTTCCTCAATAGTCTCTGATGTGGGACCCTGTCAAAAGCCTTACTGAAGTCCATATACACAATATCATATTCATTACCATGATCTTCCTCCTCAAATACCTTAGTGAAAAAAGTTAATAAATTCGTAAGGCAGGAACGCCCCTTTGTAAAACCATGCTGAGATTCGTTGATTAATTTATGCTTTTCAAGATGGCTACGAACTGCCTCGGCAATTATTGATTCCATAAATTTTCCCACTATGGAGGTTAGGCTTATTGGTCTATAGTTCGAAGCTAAGGACTGTCACCTGTTTTGAAAATAGGTATCACATTTGCCATTTTCCACTTACCTGGCACCATGCCAGTTTGTAGTGATATGTTGAAAAGATTAGCCAAAGGTGTGCTAAGCTCCTCTTTACATTCCTTTAGAACCCTTGCATACAGTTCATCAGGGGCCTGGGATTTGTTAGGTTTTAATTTATCTATTTGCCTAAGGACCATGTCACTTGTGACCCTAATAGTGCACAGTTTATTATCGTCCTGTTCTACATAATTTATCATTACTGGAATATCGCTGTATCCTCCTGTGTAAAAACTGAGAGGAAGTATGTGTTAAAAATTCTACACATTTCCTTATCACTGTCAGTGAGCTGACCCGAGGAACTTTTGAGTGGGCCTATCTTGTCCCTGATCTTACTTCTGTATACCTGAAAGATCCTTTTGGGTTAGTCTTCGATTCTTTTGCAACTTTAACCTCATAATCTCTCTTTGCTTTCTAATTCCCTTTTTTATTTCTCTCTTTAACTGAATATATCGATTTCTTAATTGCCCCTCTCCTCTTTTGATTTGCCTATATATGCCTCTCTTTTGACCAATCAGATATTTTAATCTATTGTTCATCCATTTAGGATCATTTTTGTTTGATCTGATT